GATGTATTGTCAGTGTAAAACACATACCAGGTTTCAAAAATGTAGTATAAAAATGCAAACTATTTTGTTAATTTTTAATGTTGATTACAAGTTGAAATAATACTTTAGATTTTTCAAGTTAAGCAAAATATATTATTCAAAGTAATTTCTCATTTATTTTTACCTTTTTCGTGTGGATATTAGATAATTTAATGTACATGGCTGTCATGATCTATTTTTCTTTTGTACTCCTAAGATAACTGCACATAAAGTTTTCCAGGAAAGCAAGAATCATCTTTATCTTTGTATTTTTTTCCCCACAATGGATCCTTGCTGTTAGAAACTGCTTAGCAAACGAAGGTGCTTCATAAATATTTTTCCAATGAAGGAAAAAGTTCAGGGTAGTTGTTTATTTTCTTTTTTGCTATCATGGATACTTCTCTGCCACACACGTCTCACAAGTTGCTGTGTGTGTATGTGTGTGTGTGTGTGTGTGTGTGTGTGTGTGTGTGTGTATGCATGCATGCGTGTGTGCTTGCGGTCTATCCGTTCCCTTGGAAGAATTTCCAGGATCTTGCATAAAACAGTATGGGGCATTTTATTTTGTTAAACATTGCTAGGTTAATCTCAGAAACAATTGAACCAGTTTATGATGCCATCAATGTTGTAAATTGGTGGAGGACACCCCAAGGCTAACATTTATTTATTTATTTACTGGAGTGCTAAGAAATGAACTCAGGACCTCATGCTTGCCAGGCAGGTGCTGCACCACTGAGTTAAATTCCCAACCCGTTGATGCTAACTTTAAAGGAATTCAGAGTGACTAGCAGTGTGGTTTTGGGCAAGTTACTTAGCTTTCAAGAAGTTAATTGTCTCTAAATTGTAAGACAGAGATAATAATGCAAAGCTGAAAATGAAGTGAGCAAACGGTAAGTACTTCCACACTGAAATGGGTTTTAAATGTGTAATGAGGGAAGGGCAGGAAAGGGCTACCTGGGGAAAGAGAATAGAGAAAATCAGAGTCACGAAACAAGAAGCTGCTACAGCCGCTAGGAGTTGAGGGTGTTTGGGAGAAGGACACAGCCTCGTGTTTTTGTGCACTTGAATCTCTCTTCACAAAGATTTACCTAAAAAAGTTTTATTTAAAAGAACTTTGAGTATATTTACGGAGCACAATTTACAATAGCTAAATCTTGAAACAACCTCTGTGCATACCTACAAGTGAATGGATAAAGAAAATGTGATATTTGTACTCTACCATAAAGAAGGGTAGGGGAGGCATTAACAGAGAAATGGATGCATCTCAAGATCATCATCTTAAGTGAAATAAATCATACACACAAGTTTAAATATTATACTGTTTGTCTTGTGTGAGAAACCCAAAATATAAATAAAGAGCAAAAAAGAGGGTAGATACTAGGAAGTAGGAAGAATTTATTCAAATAGGAAGGATGTCTTCGTTACTATCTTGTTGCTGAGACAAAATACCTGACATACAAAGTTAAACAGGAAAAGGTTTGTTTCAGCTCACAGTTTGTTGAGGTTTCATTCAATAGTCGGCTGGCTTCAAGGCAGGGTGGCATGGCAGAGGGGCATCACAGAGGAAAAAGAGTCCATGGTGTGGTAAGCAGTGAGCAGTGGGCCTCCCTTTCCCTTTCATCTCATCTAGGCTACAAGCCTATTGGTTGGTGCCACCCACACCTAGGGTAAACCTTTGTATTATTCATACCCAGAACTGTACTAAACCAATCAATGAACTAATTTAATACCTCACACCCTTAATCCCAGTATCACATGCCCTAGATTCAGCCACCCCTGAAAAGCTCATCTATGAGCACTCGAGGGTTTGGAAGACCATCTAGATACAAGCTAACAAAGGAGAACAAGGGATGGGAGAGGGAGAGGAAAGGAAGGAAAAGGGCTTAAAAAGATTGAAGGAGAAAGTGGAAATAGTGGCTTTATAAACAGGAAGGGGAAGGGAAGAGGACAAAAAATAAGATTTGCTATGTGCACGTGCACCTTATATACTACAAACATGTACTAATAAAAGAAAAGAAAAGTAAACTAAAAGAATGGTGGGAGCTAATGCTTTGCCTCAGAGCCAAAACCAAGTATGCTTTATTTCAGAAGGAATATTCCTAGCAAACAAGAAAAAAGTTATGAATAAAAATCCCTTGGATGTCGACAACTCCACAGAGAGGCGGGCAGGGCATGTGTGAATGTACAATGTATTTGGGGAACACTGGGGGACCCCTGCTGACTGCTCCGCCCCGCAGATGGGGTCCCTGAGACTGAGAAGTGCTGCTCAGGTGGTGATCCCTAGCTCACCTGGCCCCTGAGCACTCGAAGTGCAGCTTGGCTGAAGACTCAGTGTGAACAAAAGCAAAATGCTTCACCAATAATGCTTCAAGAGGGTGCACATTGTAATGATAATATTTGAAATGCACTGAGCTAAATAAAACATTACAATTCTTTTATGCTTCTTTTTCCCCTTTCAAATGTGGCTACAAGAATGTGACATTTATGGATGTGGCTCACTTTCCATCTGTGCTGGACAGTGTGGGGCTAGGCCCTCTGGATTTTTTTCGAGTGTCTTCCCAGCAGCCTCCTGTGACTACTGGGACACTTTTGAATATGCATGGGCAGCTCAGATTAGCTCTGAGCTTAGAATTCACAGCTGGTAAGGAAGCCACTGAGGTGTTTGTCTTAGACAGGGACCTGTGAAAGCAGATTGGAAACTGCTGAGGTAAGACCAGAGCTCAGCCCCAAACCTCTCCTCAGCTGACACCAGATGCTATAGTTTGCATCTCACTTTTATTCACTTTTTCTCCCTTCCTTCCTTCCTTCCTTCCTTCCTTCCTTCCTTCCTTCCTTCCTTCCTTTCTTTCTCTCTTTCTTTCTTTCCTTCTTCCTCTCCTCCTCTCTTTCTCCTTCTCCTCATCTCCTCTTCCCTCCCCCTCTCCTCTCCTCCCTTCCTCTCCTCATCCCTTTCTTCCCTTCCCCCTCCCCTCTACTCCCATCCCCTCCTCTCCTCTGACCTCCCCTGTCCTCTTCTTCCTTTCCCTTTCCTTCTCTTTTCTTTTGTTCTTTGAAATAAGGTCTTGCTGTGTAGCGTAGGCTGACCTTGAACTCACAGAACTCCTGCCTCAGCCTCCAGAGTTTGGGGTTACAGGTGTGTGCCACTATTCCTGGCCTCTATAGTTTGCGTCTTGGAGCTTGGTCCCCAGCCCATAATGCTGAAGCGTGGTCCCCAGGAGGTGGAGGTGGCCCCAGCTGGAGGAAGTGAGGCTGGTGGGAGGAAGTTATGCCTTGAAAGAGACACTGAGACCCTGGCCCCTCCTCTCTTTCTGCATCCTGGCTGCTGGGTGGTGACCAGGCCTCCTTGGTCACAGGCTCCCACCAGGGTGTCCTGAGTCACCACACACTCCCAACAGCAGGACCAAGCAACCAGGCGCCCAAGTCTCCCAAATGGAGCCCAAATAACTCTTTACTCCTCGAAGGCTGGCTCATCTCAACTGTCTTACAGCATATGGAAGGTGACTAATGCACGGTAAGATTTCGGACATTCCCTGGATGCCTTTGTTAGAACAGTCTATGCCCGAGGTCAACAGTATGATGCTGGAATCTGGGGGAAAAGCACTTTGTTCTCTTGGGTTTTGAGTCCAGAAAAGCAAAGATGCGAGGGACTAATCATGCAGTCCTTTGATAAGGAAGTAGAATGAACCTAGTCAGACTGGAACGAGGTTAGTTGGGTTCTCTGAGGAGCAGGTGTCGATCCGGTATTGCCTAAGCGAATCGCTGAGAGAAAGCCTGCGCCTGGTGAGGAAGGAGGTTGTGGTGGGCGGGGACAGCATTCGGCCACAGCCCACAGCGCAGGCCCCAGCCTGTGACAGGGAGTGGGAGGAAGGACAGCTGGAGACCCCATTTGGGGAGGACACCTGCAGGAACTGCAGATAGCAGGGGGTGCTGGTGGGTAGGGAGCTGAGGTAACAGGGTGCAGCTGGAGCTCCTTGGAGGATGGGTGGTCAGCAGAGCAGCAACCAGAGGCCCTGATGTTTGTGATTGTATAATAAGCAATGGCCCAAGCAGAAAGTCATCCTCAGGCTACAAATAGGGCAGGGAGAGGGGCCAGCAATGCTCAGGCCAGCTGGTGCCCAGAAGTCCAGGCCAGGTGGCATGGTGAAGCTGCAGGCTCCTGCTCTGCCAGGATTCCAGTTCTGCAGCGAGGTGGCAGTGTCCCAGCCAAGAAGGAGCCAGGACTGCAGACACAGATCAGGCAGCTTCCACTAGCATTGGGCGGGGCTGGGAGCGCAGCGAAAGCTAAACAGAGGAAAGTGGTTTGAGAGGGATTGTTTACTGGGCTGTTGATCTGGGAAGATGCTGACCTCTTATTGCAGGATGCCCATGGGGAGGGTCATCTCCTCCTTTGGAAACAAGTGCACACATCATAGCTCTTTCCAGAATTATTTCATGGGTGACCAGTGTCTCTGCCTGTGATTCGCTGACTTCAGCCCTGTGTATTGCGGAAGAGACATCACAGTGTCTTCACTATGCAGTGGAGGAAACTGAGTCACAGTCAGCATAGGTAGGCTTCTCTTAACTAGGATCCAGGAGGGGTGTGTGGGTCCAGCCCCGGGCTGCAGCTCTGTGGAACTTCTCCTGCTTTTACCCTTTTTATTCTTCTGATGAAAGGAAGATGGTGAGGCGGGCAAGACGCTGAGGTGAGATCTTGAATGTCCCCCAAGGGCTTGGCCTCCATCCTGTGACATAAGAGGTAGTGGAACCTTTTCACTCCCACTTTTTTTTTTTTTTATCAGTGTATCTTGGTCACATGGCTGCATGAGTTTCATTCTGGCAGATTTGTACATGTACCTAATTAATTTTACCTGGCCCCCTATCTCCCTCATGCCCACCTGCTTCCTGGTTCCACAGTTTGGGGGTCTTGGTGTGTGTTATGGATTAAAAACTGATGATCAACTTAACAGCAGCTGAATTAAATCAGCATGGTGCTAGGTGTAGACGGTTCATCTGAGCAAAGTTGCCAACATAAACAGAGACTTGGAGATGAGTGGGGTGTTGTGGGTTTCTCTAAGTGTTGCTGTTTTGGTTCTCCTGGAGGAGGGAGCTGTCATGACTAGCTTCCCCAGTGTGAGTGCGAAGTGTTGTCACTGAAGGAGCTCAGGACCTTGTTGGTGAGAGTGACTGTGATTCGATTTGGGGAAGCTTCGGTCCTTGCATCGAGCATCACTTCCTGGCTCCGGAGGGGAAGATGTGTGCCACTTAATCTTCAGGACAAACTCATCATGCTGGCTTCCTGGCATGTACTGCACTGTTCTTATTGTCAGAGGAGCTTGGGACCTCCATGTCACTGGGAATGACTGTGGTGCTTTTCAGGACAGCCCTGGTCTTTATTATGAGTGTGACTTCTTGGCTCCAGTATAGAACACTCCACCTACCAGCACAGCTCCTTCACCCCACTGCATAGACTTTCCACTGACCTTTGGGCCTTCCCAGCACGGATCCATAAAAGAGACTGGTGTAAGTCCTTCTCATGGGCTCTAGACCTCCAGTTGGATTTGTGGGAGGCATTGTCATGGGCTCTAAGTTTTCATCTGGACTCATGAGGACACTGCTGTGGAATTGAGGCCCTTGGCTAAATATTCTAGGTCTTTAGTGTTGTGGACAGATTTCCTGCACTTTCTGTGTTAACTCTGGGTGGCCATCATAAAATAATACTATAAATTCTTTGTCCTGATTCTAATTGTTCTCTGCACACCTGACTATAACAGTATGTATAATTTTTTGGTTCCATTCATGTCTCCCATTGCCCACACTTAGTACCCTTTCCAGATCTGGGAGAAGCTTTATGCAGCAGGGTCTGGTGACTGGAAGTTAGGTCACCTGGGGCTGTGGCCTTGGAAGGGGTGTTGGGACCACGGCCCCTTCTTTCTCTCTTTGCTTTGTGGTCACCATGTGTTGAGCAACATCCTCTTACTGTGTGCCATCACCATGATGTTCTGCCGTGCTGCAGACCCACAGTGACAGGACCAAGTAACTTAGGACAGGAAATTCCAAAACAAGGATCCAAAGGTGAACTTTCCTCTTTTAAAGTTAATTTTCTCAGGTATTTTGTTATAGCAATGGAAAGTTGGCTGACACAGTGGATTTGGGGTCCAAATCCTGGCCCTGGCCTCACCCATGTGGATGATCTTAGACAAGGTGGGGGATAATCCCTTAGAGCCTCTGCTGACCATTTGTCAAGTGGGATAGTAGTGCTGACCTTTTCTGTTACTGGCCTAAGTCTTCCAGAAATCCCCCAGGGCTTGGTTCTGAGTTATTTCCTTTTCTCAGCAATCGTCTCCTCAGATTTACATTCATTTCTGTGACTGAAGAAGCATCTATCCGTTGGGGTTTCTCCAGCTTGAGAGGCTGACTGTATCTAGACATGATCTCAGCAGCCAAATCAAATTTACTCTGGGGTCTTGCTTGTGCCTCTAACTCAGAATGTCCAGAGTGAAATTCTACCTTCTTCCCCAGCTTTCACAAGGACCCCCTTTCTGGGGGTCTCCAGCTCAGGGTGTGGTGCTGCCAGTTGCTTTGTTCTTTCTATCAACATTGGTACAATTCCCACACACCAATGTCTACACTTCATCGGTTGGCACATTCTATGGACTCTGGCTCCTAGAGATTGCTGTCTGTGCCCAGTTCTCTCTGTCTTGTCTTGTCTTCTGTCACCTCACCTTGAGTCCTCCTCACCCCCTCACCCTTTGTTTCCTGCTGGACTTCTGCGCTGTGTTCCCAGCAGACCTAGTAGACTTATTCCTGCACCCTTTTAATCCATTCTTTCCACAAGTCAGGGAAATCTTCAAAGAAAAATTAATTGTGTGACAGGTCCCCACTTCTCAATCTCAATGACTTTATTCGTTTGTTCATTTCACATGACACAGAAATGTCTGTCCTAACTGGTTAAATATGTAGCTTAGTGGTTTAAATACATTCATATGATTGTGCAATTCACCTCCCTTCCTGAATGTTTTCAGCCTGCAAACTTGAAACTCTGAACCCATTAAATGATAACTTCCTACTTTCCCTTCCCTTGAGTTCTTGGTAACCATCTTTTATTTTTGTCTCTTGTTAATTTGACTACTTTAGGTACTGAATATTAAATAACATCACAATATTTGGTCTTTTTTGTTGACTGTCTTATTCCCTTTACCAAAAATGTCTTCTAGACCATCCCTGTTGTAGAATATATCAGAAATTTCTTCCTTTCTTAAGACGCTTATCTTGTCTATTAATCTGTCAAAGGACACTTGGGTTTCTTCCACCTTTTGGCTGCTACGAATAATACCACTGTGAACATAAATATACAAATACCTTTCATAGTCTTCTTTCAATTCTTCTTTCAGTTCTTTTGGGCACATACCCAGAGGGGTAACTTCTGGATTAGATGGAAGTTGTAACTTTAGTCTTTTGAAGAACTTTTGTCCGTTTTCTGTAGCAATCACACCATTTCCAAAGATTCTGCTTTCTCTGCATCCCCACCACCAACTGTTACTGTCTGTTGCTTTGATAGTGGCCGTGCCAGTAGGTGGAAAGTGGCCTCTCACTGTGGTTTCCATCTGCATTTCCCTAGTGGTTAGTGACGCACGTGTTTGAGTGTTTATGAGCCATTTGTATAACTGCGGAGAAATATCTACTCTAGTCTCTTGCCTCTTTTGAGGTCATTTGTTGTTGAGTTGTAGTCATTCTTTATATTTTTTCGATATTAACTCTTTTATCTAATATATGATTTGTAAATATTTCTTCCACCCTGTGGCCTTTGTAGTTTGGTGGTTGTATACTTTGATGTACTCAAATGGCTTCTTATCACCCTAGGATAAAAACCCAAAGCCTTGCAAATTCAGTTTTAGATTACAGCTGTCGTTATACAATGCACCCTTTGGATCGTCGGGCTGCAGACACTGGCCTTGTCTCCGTTCCTCTGAGACCAGGTCTCCTTCCTTCTCCTCACTTTTCCCTCCGCGCAGCATGAGCCCGTGTTTGGAGGCGGCCTCCTCTCCTGCACATTAGCTCCACAAGGGCAGGGGCTGTGCTCGGGACCACTCACTCCTGGTACAGCAGGCGCAGCATCACGTACTTTCGAGAGTCCACAAAGATGTTTTCATTTCAATTTCTCTTCAAGTCGGTTGAGAAATGAATACAGTGCTAATAGATTAAATAGTAAACTGAGCCTGGGTTACATTCATCTTTATATAGACACAGTCATAAGACATATAAATACAGTAAGAAGCCCCAAAGAAAAAGCAATCTGCGCCTGTGGAAACTGGAACGCGGCTCCAATTGCTCCTGATTTGCTTGTGTCTGTGTTCCCACTTGGCCCACGCTGGCCTTCACATGTGTCAGCTCTGACTGCAGGTGTCAGAGAACGGAGGACTGAAACGGCAAGATGGAGGCGTCCCCGGCAAAAGCACAGGCTCTTCTTGACCCAGATCCTTTAAAATAAACCCACAGCTCTTCATCACAAGAGGCGGGGGATGCTGAACTCCTCTGTGCCTCTGCCAGGGTGGTTGGAGGGGCGAGGTGGGGGGTGGTGAATAAACACATGGGCCTCACCTGCAAATTCAGTCTGTGTTGTCCACAATTCTTACAATCTCAGTTCGCACACTTAGGGTAGTCGGGGACCCAGGCAGTGGCTTCTCCCTTACTCTGTGTGTTCTTTTTCCTATTTTAGAAGTTTTTTAATAGCTTGACGCTGGTGGCATTCTCAGTTAATAAACTGCATATGTTTAAGGTATACAGTGTGTTCACTGCGGCTTTGTGTACCTCTCGGAGCTGTGAGGACAGTGCACGTGTCCATCAATCCCAGCAGTTTCCTTCCTGTTTCTCTCACCTGCCCGTCTTTGAGCAAATGCTCGCCTGCTTTCTGGAGTTTTGTATAAGTGAGATACACATACTCATCTGACTTATTTCACTCAGTGTTAGGGTTTAGATTTCAAGCATCCCCCGGGAATCTCATGTGCTGGGAGTTGGAGATGTGGAGGTGATTGGATTGTGGGGTGCTGCATTCATCCATGGATGAGCTCAGAGGCGAGTGTGCTGGAAGAGGCTGGACAGGTGGTCACGCGCCCCATGTGAAAGCCCCGTGTCCCTTCCCGGCTTCTCCCTTCACTGTGCCCTGGCTGCCAGGGCCTGAACACTTCCCCCACCACCTCTGCCCTGCCTCCGTTTCTGCCTCGGAGCCGACCACGGGCCCCAAATCAACCTCTCCTCCTTCGATTACTGGGTATCGGTATTTTATCCCAGGGCTGGCAAAGTAATCGAGACCCTCATGTCGTTTCATCTAGTCACAGTTTATATCTCTTTTTAGTATTGAGTCATACTTCACTGTCTGCATGGCGGTGTGTTATTGATGACAGACGTCTGGGTTTTTATTCCTTAGCTACCGCAGATAAGGCTCCTGTGTACAACAGTGTGCAAGGTTCTCCATGGGGACCTGCGTCTCCTCTTCTCTGGGGTAGATGCCTGGGCATGGAATAGCTGGGCGATGTGTTGGTCTTGTTTTCCAAGGTGAGTGCTGCAGCACTTAACAGGCCCTTAAGTCTGTATGACATTTGCATTTCCTCCATATTCCTGCCAACCCTTCGTACGACCAGCATTTTAAATTTTAATCATTTTAACGGATGGGTAGTGACATCTCATCATGGTTTTAATTCAAATTTCCCTGATGACCAACAGTGTTGGGCACCTTTTCATGTGCTTGTATTCTACTTGCATAATTTCTTCAGTGAGGCATCTGTTTATTTCTTTTGAGTTTTGGAAAGTTTTTATATATTTTGTGTAGATGTCCTTTATGAGCTGTGTGTTTTGCAAAGATTTTCTCCTAGTTTTTGGATTTCCATAAGAATAAGAACAGAAGAAATAATAAATTGGAGAAGCCCAATTTATTACTGGTTCTTTTCATTTACAGCGTTTGTGATACTGTACACGAAGATACCTTTCCCCAAACCCCCAGATTCAGCAGTTTCCTCCAAGTTCAGCAATTTTCTTCTACAAGTGTTATTGTTTTAGTTTTATATTTAGGCATATGATACATTTTGATTTAATTTTTCCGTATAAATGTAGGCTTAAATTTATATTTGTGTCTACATTCATATGCATGTTTCAGTACCATTTGCTGAAAAGAGTATCATTTCTCCACCTCACTGCTTTTGAATCTTTGTTAAAAATTAGTTTCTTTATATGTAGAAGTTGATCTCTGAATTCTCTTCTGTTCTAATGATTTCTCTTATTTTTAATACCATACTGTTTTAAATGCCATAGTTTTGTAATAAGTTTTGAAATTAGTGTTAATCCTTCAACTTTGTTTTCTTTTTCATGTTTGTTTAAATTTTTCTGTCCTTTCAAACTAACTTGCTACTTTCTTCAAAACAGCCATCTGGGGTTTTGATGAGGTTTTTTTTTTTTTAAATCTAGATCAATTTGGGGAGAATTGACATCTGAACATGACCCATTATCTGAGGTCAGGATCAAGAGAC